CTCTCCTTCTCTTGCCTTTCCTTCACTTTTCCTTTCCCTTTCCGTTCCTTGTCCTTTCCCTTTCCTTTTTCTTTCCTGGATTTGTCCTTCCCTCTCCTCCTTCCCTTTTCCTTTCCTGCGCTTTCTGCTTCATGTAGTATAGCATTTCCTGCGCTTTCCTCTCCAACTTCATGCAGTACAGCATCAGTGGTGAGATTTGCAGAGTTGAAGCCTACTGTATGCATTGATTGGCATTGTGCCATCTGTGGTTCTGACATAAAGCCCCCACACGCAAACAAAAGATGACAAAATGGCAATATCTTGGACCATAAATGCGGTAGTTTTCCAGGGTTTTTGGACTTGTAGATGGCGCAATAGCGTGTTGCCCCCTGGAGTTCGAAGATGAAGCAACAAAAAAAGACAAGCCATCAATTTTCACAATGGAGTAATTAGTTCATACATGTTCATACATCAGGTCGTCTCATGTAGACTGCTGAATAAAACACTCTCTTGGATTGTAAAGCCTCTCCGTCTCATCCATCAACCGTCTACAGTCCATATGACCACCGTCAAATAGGGGAGGCCAGTCAAACCTGCCAGACTGACACCCTCAACCCCGGACGGTCGTCCGGTCGCCTGCATGACGGGGCCTGACCACCTGGGCACCGGTCGTACTGTCGGGCCGAACGGGGCGACACCGAGTGCCCCAACTCTTCGTGTGGCGTCCCAGGCCGAAGAAGAAGGCTTTAGGTCTGAGGCCGCATCTTGGAGACACCTGCAATGCCCTGAAACGCCAAGTCAATGCAAAAGCCCTAGCACCCTAGGCCCTAGGGCTTTAGGTTAGCTGATACCCTGAGAAATGCTGACAGAAACGATCAGAAATGCTGACCTGCACCGACTCGCCTGCCCGCTCCGCGGTGCGAATGAAACGATCGCTCTGCGTCGCACGAGAGGTACTTCGACCCTCATTCCTGTGGACTCATACTTTCTTTTTCCCAACGCTGTCCCGGCTCGTTCTCTCCCCGAAGAGCAAGAGCAGCAAGTCCAATTTCACAACCAAGCTCCGTAATTATACACACACTCCCTCTCTCTCTATCACTCTCTCACCAAAACCTGTCTCAACAAGCGCTGCGGATCTACAGGGCAATTGATTTGTCGCCTCTCCTCACCCAAAAGGGCCCAACACACCACGCGTGCCGCCCAGTCGCGTTTGAGGCTCCGATATGGCGAGATGGAGGCATAGAACGTGCGTCGGTCACGCTCGAGCAAAAAGCGTGTGGAAAGGAAGACAGAAGCTGCCCAATGCGCCCTACTGCGTGTGCCCTCCAAGTTTGAGGCTCCTCACAATCCCCAACCAAGCAGGCCAACCAACCAAACTTAGACATCCATGGACCGTTTGCATAGGTTTTGCTGTGTTCTGCTCTCTCTTCTCTCTTTCTCCATGGTTATCAGGCGAAACATGGGGAGAGATGGAGAAATAAGTTACTATAATGTCTTTGTCTTTGTATTTGTCGTCGAGCCTTCAACATGGTTTAGGCATTTCAGTCGGATAAGGAAAATCCAAAGTATATAACTATATATATATATTATATAGTACTTCTTCCATTCTTGGCCAGTGACCCCGTCCAAGCGGTGTCTGACAAACCTCTCCCCCACAGCCAGTCCCAAGCAGGGCCTCCACTCGCTGTAGCCCTAGCAGCTCCACAGCAGCACCTGTCATCGCTACGGCAGCGGAGAACACGGTCGCTTTCAGCATTGGAAGGCCCTGGTGTTCCGTGGTCAGCATGACTCACCAATGGCTTCGCGTTCGAGTGGGTAATCCAGAAATCTCGGTGCCCGAGATCGAAACATCGCCGTTTTCCATCGCACACCAGACTGGTGGCCAAGCAAAAGCCAACAGCCAAGCCAGCTAAATCGATATCGAAGTTGAATCTCCATCTTTGTTAGATCAAGGAGAGCCATCTGGTCTTTCAAAACTCCACATTCAGGCTTACCACGCCCACCAGGAGCCCCCACGGTTCCATTCGTTCACTCGCCCGCTGCCATCCACACCCACCACGGGCACCGTGGCATCCTCAGGCCGCGGGAGGACCGAGTCACGCGGGGATCTCCCGGTCTTTTCCGAAAGAAGGGGCCGACGGTGAAGTGGTTCAGGTGGTCCTTTCTGAACTTGAGAGGCTTTGGAAGGCTGGGATTCCCTTGGGTAGTTTGAGGATTATGGGTCCCCTACAAATGATGATCATCATGTGTTAAGTTTTAAGATCCGTATTGAGAGCATTGAGCACACTTTAAATTGTTGCGTCCAAACCAGAATAGTCCGGGCTTTGGTTTTTCTTCGGGACATCACAAAGTCCAATGGACATGTGAATGCTGAACAGGGCGGCACACGTCCAGAAGTCAACAAACTGCTGTGTCTCTACTTGCCGGTCTTCCAGTGTAAACCAGCCCTGGTTCGTTCAACACGCGGTTGCTTTTTCAACGCCAGCTCCGAGCACTGTACACGTTTGCGAGCGCGCTGGGCTCGGCGCGTGGGGGACCTGATTCCGCCAAGACTTCTGCGCCGTCCTGTCATTTGCTTTCGCCCTCAGTCTATGGCAACTAATGTTACCAAGTCACGCGTGGGATTGCGTTCAACTACACACGGAGTAGCATTGCTTTGTGTTCTTTTCAACCCAAGATTCTTCACGCGTCAAGATTGAACAGCCAGTTCTTCTGTTGGTCAGTGCTTGTCAACTCAGAGAGCTTGTTCCTAGGGTTGGGTGTTTTTTCCCGAAAGCATTGCAAAGGGTTCTTCCGGAAAATCCCTTGAACACTGACACTTCGACACTTACACTTACACACTGACACTTCCACACTTGCACTTGAACACTGACATTTCTACACTTACACTTGAACACTTACGCTTCCACACTGACACTTGAATACATACACGTCTATACGTATCCCAGTGTAAGGGTAAAAAGCATCCAAGGGCAAGTATGCCAGTGTAAGTATCCAAGTGCAAAAGTATGCAAGTATCCCAGTGCAATCCCAGTGCAAGTATGCAACTATGAGTATGGAAAACTTGCACGGGAGATGTCCTAATGAAAAACATTTCCCCACTTTATAAATTCTCTCTTAAAGGCGGAGGGTGGGACGAACAGCGTTAACCGAAAATGCAACCCTCTGCGGAGATCGTGCGTGTCGAGTGCGCGAAATGCACGCGAGAGCGCCATTTGTGAAATTACCGCGCAGCCCTCTGCGGAGATCGTGCGTGTCGAGCGCGTGAAATGCAGGCGAGAGCGCGATTTGTGAAATTACCGCGCAACCCTCTGCGGAGATCGAGCGTGTCGAGTGAGCGAAATGCAGGCGAGAGCGCGATTTGTGAAATTACCACGCAACCCTCTGCGAAGATCGTGCGTGTCGAGTGCGCGAACTGCAGGCGAGAGTGCGATTTGTCCCGCGCAACCCTCGGCGGAGATCGTGCGTGTCGAGTGCGCGAAATGCAGGCGAGAGTGCGATTTGTCCCATGCCCGCGCCACCCTCTGCGGAGATCGTGCGCGTCGAGTGCGCGAAATGCAGGCGAGAGTGCGATTTGACCGGCACCCGCGCAACCCTCTGCGGAGATCGTGCGTGTCGAGTGCGCGAAATGCAGGCGAGAGCCCATGCCCGCGCAACCCTCTGCGGAGATCGTGCGTGTCGAGTGCGCGAAATGCAGGCGAGAGTGCGATTTGTCCGGCGTGCGCGCAACCCTCTGCGGAGATCGTGCGTGGCAAGTGCGCGAAATGCAGGCACTGGCGACTTTCTAGTACTAATTAGTATCTTTAATACGCGGAGTATCTGGGGAGCTGGAAGATGAGAACTGGCGACTTTGT